CTACTCTAAGTGGCTATGTTTTACACACATAGAGTAGAACACAGAGAACTACTAAGCAGTAAACTCGTCCTTTGGCTAGTAGACGGATATCTCGCCTACACCATAAGCGACTCAAGTTGGCAAAAGCTGGCCGAGCCTTCAGTATCCATGCTGAGATTCTGTCACACACCGGGCCATCAGCACTTATGAGACTCCAAAGATAAGTGAAGCAGTCAGCACGCTCAGATACTTCACTCCCTATCACTAGTTCAGGTACCTATGCAAGCCAATACTGAAGCAACATTTTGTATTTAGAGGGAAAGAATCGCATCCACACATGCTTCCATCGTTGCTTAAGGTTTTCATAAGACTCAGCATTTTGTCAGCGTCTTCACCGAACAGAACTGTCATTGGCATACTCTAAGTTAACAAGTGAATTTTCTGGTAGAAGGTTACTTCCTGGAAAGTCAGACGATGAAAGCGTCGTTATTAAAAGCACGCTAATGACAAATTCGATTAGGAATAGAGAAAGTGAACAACCCTGACGAACACCACTTGTAGTAATCAGTTCCGATGACAGTTCGCCATAAGCTTTGACTTGACCAGTAGTGTTCAAATAGAGAGCCTATACAACGTTAATGTACTTATTTGATACACTTTTCGATGACAGACACTGTCACAGAACTTAACGATCAACAAAGTCAAACGTCATCTTAGGGTCAAGGAATAAAACTGCTGTCGGAAGTTGAAATCCATGAATGTGTTCTAGGACCTTACGTGGGGGTATTTGGTCTATACACCGATGTTCAGGTCTGAATCCTAACCAGTCTGGTTTACTCTAGTCCGCTGTTCACGAACTATAGATAGGCGTTGAAGTGTTTTTGAAATTTTCATTTTGTACACTATATTAGTCAAAATGATTCCGCTGTTTGTGCAACAAGAGGATTTTTGTCCTTTCTGATTGACCGAGACAGTCAGTGATCAAGATCAGCCAGATGGGATTACGCCCAGTTCCCAGAACCTAGCAAAGATCTCCTCTAATCTAACTGCTGAAACGGGACCACCATCCTTAAAAATTTCAGATGTTAACCTACCAGGACCTACTACTTTCTCTCGTCTTAGATTACGTGTAGCGTTTTCAACTTCATTAAGAGTAGGAGGACTCACATTACATTTTCGTTCATGGTATCGGAGATCGTCGGTAACTGAAGTGTGGCTGAGGGCCAATTAAACTGCTGCCTAAAGTGTTACGCTGATTGATGCCATTCTTCTGGGTTAGGGATGAATAATATGGCCATCATTTTCGGAGATAGTCTTACTAAAGGTTGGATTTCGAAGGCCGGTTTTCTTGGTAAGTCTGAATAGTTGTCTACTGTTGCCTATCATCGCAGCCTTTTCCATCTTTCTTGCTTTCGCCACCCACCACTGTTCTTGATCATTCCGTAAGCTTCTTATCAGCCTGAGCTTAAGCTGACTTCGCTCTTCATCCTGCTTAGAGCCAGATGTGATGCGTTTACGATCATCAATCAGTCCATTAGTTGCTACTGAGAGCCACTATTTCTCCATAGCCTTATGGTTTACCTTACTAGCAGATATCACTGCTGTTTCCACAGCTAGGACATCATTTCAAGCTGCGATGGGCATCACTTACTTGGTCATCTAACTGTTTTTCTAGTTGTTCCTGAAATATATTCTTGGCTTGGCTATCACTAAGTAGAATCCCAAGAGGTCTCCTTGCAACATCTTTCCTAAGTCCAGTAAGCCTCAAACAAAAACGTGGTAGTACTAGAGCATGGTCTGAGTCTAAACAAGTGCTCCAGAATGAGCGGAAATCTTCAGTAGGGGCTCTCCACCGATGGCTTATAGCGAGGTGGTCTAGTTAGGTCCATCGCTGGGTCGGCTTTGGGGGTCGCCATGTCAAAAGATGTTTTTCCTCATGATTAAAGTTAGTATTTACCAAAAATAGGTGGTTATCTGAGCATAGGTGCAGCAGACGCTCTCCGTTATCTGTTTGATGAGTCTCAACACCACAAGATCCACCCAGATGTGTTTCGGTTTCGCCTAGTCTACCCATATGAACATTAAAATCACTGGCCACCATTACTACATCCGAGCGCTTAATTTGTTGAAGAAGGTTACGAAGCTTTTGGTAAAATTAATCCTTTATCTCATCTGAGCTGCAATCAGTGGGAGCGTAGACAGAGGCAACGGTGTGTGTCCCTATCTTTCCGAGTCCTTACTGTCCCGTTTGGTCGGGGCTCCCGACTACGTGAAGCGTGATTCACGACACTGCTGTGTTTTGACAAGGTGCAGTCAAATATTCGACTGTCCCGGAGTGCTGTATGCGCGTTTCGGAGACGCAGCATACATCGATGGCGCAAGATTAGTAAGTCCCAGCTAAGGAAGTCTGCTGTTTTGTCTGGCAAAATCTTCGAACATTAAAAGCCTCAACATGTAGATTTGATCGTGGTTTAATGAGACCAGGAAAACATTTCGTGTGCTCAAATCGTTAACATTAAAGGAGTAAAGTGATAAAGGTATGCGAGAATGGTTATTCGTGGAGATAAGAGAGTTGACAAGAGGTGGAGGAAGGATTTGATTATGACCAATTCGGTCTCGTATGCTCTTACGGGTACGAGAACGGATGTCACCTCCCGGTTGCCCATACCATGGAACATTATTTCTTGAGGAGCCTGAAAATGAAGTTGGGTTAGCGTTGGTCTTAACAACCTAGGAGCGTGACTGCAGCGCCCAAGGAACAACTGCTTGACGCCAGTCACGGTAGGATTTATCACGGGACGTTTTTAAAGTGTTAGTGCTTCTCTTCAGAGGCTTTACAGCTGGAGACGGATATCCACAGGCTAGGGTGAGATGCTAAATTTTTAGAATCGATCTTTTTAAATCCATTCCTTCCATTGTGATAAGGCAGCATCGCTGCAGATACTAGTTACCTAAAGGAAACACCTTACTGCTGTCGTACTTCTCTACAGTTGGCAGTACGACTTCCCCTTCAGATCTCCTTAAGTTGATGCTCTAATTAACACTTTCACTTACTTTACAATATTCTCGACTGATTGTGAAACTTTTTTTCATGTTTAATGAAACATCACAATTTGTCATCCACAAATATGAGAAAATCCTATCTGAAATTACTACAAAAATTGTGTAGAATTAGGTCTTTTGAGCAACATTAGATTTGAATGTACATGCGTAATTCGGTATGGTTATTGATATCAATATTTACGAGGATTTTACAGAAACCATTTATCGTTTACCTCAATATGGTTCAACACAGACTTGAACTGCTTGAACAAATTGCAAGAATAGAGTGGTATGCTTCTTTTTTTTAGTCTTTTCACTATGTAAAATCACTTAATGGTTTGTGATGTTATTCTCTCATATCATTTAGTAAGATTAGTTTTTTACGGAAATTAACAGAGACTGATCAAGTTCAATCCTAAATATCAATAGGAAGATTCAAACAAACAATACAAATGGATTAAACTAATAGATAGTTGTGATGTTAATTTACTATATGATGATGGTAAATGGAGCTGTTGTTTAAAAAAGCTACTTCACGATAGGTAATTATTTGATATTTACATCTTAATCTATTCAATAAAGAAAATAAGTTTAGTCGTTTCATAGTAAATATCTGTATATGTACACACAACAGTATTGTGTCATAACACCAAGATACACACCGATAAACTAACATAAAGACATACTTGCAACACATAGTGAATAGTTTATGTAAACATCAAGGCAAATGGAAAGAGGAGGAAAGTAAAAAAGAACGTCATATATATGTATATATGAACCAATCTAATCCCCAACCATGGTAGGACATTTTCCGAAATGCATAAATTAAAAATGATGACAATCAATAAAACCTTTGTCTCTTTTAGTTTTGTTCACTTAGATTTTGTTTGCACTGTCTAGCAAATATAGTCTAAATGATATTAAAATAAATACAATTTTATTATAACTAAATCCTGTGGTTACATATTTTAACTTCTTGTCCAATTTTCGCTACTATTTCATGAATCATTTAATGGATTATCAACTCTAGGAGATGGTGAGGTGGGGCTCACGGTGTGAGGGGGAAGGGGGAAGGATTTTTGTGTGAATATTACGTTACCTATGGTGAAATAAATTCATGTACCTATTGATATGTGCGTGAAGGACAAAGTTTGTTTTGTCTAAGGCCAACTAAATAAATCGATTCATTGAATATGGGTGAAATAAAATAGGAACAATAGTTACCTGTGTTACCATTACATAATAGTCGTTTCCATTTCTTCAGTTTTCAGTGATTATTTTGAACAAATAAAACGTAAGAAGAAACTGGGAAAAACAGTGTGATACCTAGTTTGTTTGATTTTAATGACATAAAGTGTAATGAATCATTTATAACGAGACTGATTGGCTATTAACTAACAACCTCTTTTAAACATCGATATATAGACATTCGTAAATTGTTAAAGTATATGAAAATGGTTAAAGTATTAATGATAAATCGTAATTTTTTTTTATACACTTGTACAACTTTTTAACATCCATGTTTTATTATCCTTAGATAAAGATCAGACAGAAAATTAAGAACAGTCATTTCAAAAATTTATGAATGACTGGAGCTGTTGTGGAATGTTACACTTTAGTGTTCTTACTTTCGTTAGTTTTTTTTTGTAGACCTAGTTAACCAACTAGTGAACATTATACGTTACAAAAAACAGACTATAACTAGGACTCTTAAATTGAAATATTTAAAGAGAAATGAAGTTGTATCACGCTCTCAGTACACGTACATAGATTTCGACTACTGATATTTCGAAATGGTGTCTACGCCTCAAAATTTTCATTCATTTATTCATTCTATATTATTTTCATATAGAAATTAATAGAGAAAAAAAAATATTATTTCTAATTTTACATTATTAACAATTATTAGTATATAATGAAACGTGTTACAAATCTGAATAAAACATTATTTACTCATATTTACTGAATAATCAACTCACTGTTTAGTAGATACACCTTCACGAATTCTGTAAGAAAAAAAGCAGGTATTATTCGTGTAATAATAATCATATTATTAATGATAATAATAATAATAATAATAATAGAAATATTCAACACTATAGTAACGAATAATCTATGAATATCTGATATTTAAATAATTATGATGATGAATAAAACAAAGATAACACATATTCAACAGTGTAGTGAATATGAAAATTGTCAAATGAATCAATATCATAAATATTAGTGAATTATTTATACTTTAAATATATTTTATATTAGTATAATTATAATTATAATCAGGACTATTTGATGACTAAATCTCTTAGCTTATTGTAAGTATCATTTTCCAATTCGCTTATAAAACCCTATGAGCAAATAAACATGATCATATTGTGGGTTGGTTCATTTATTTGTAAGTATTTCATGAATGGACAGGATATTAAGACTTGTAATTATAAAGCTTCACTATCATTTTCACCCAAAATTATGTTTTAGTGTAAAATGTAGTTCAGCAGTGCCATTGCGCGGCAATGAAATGCAAATCCGTAATTGCATGTAAAAATATTATATATAAATATATACACCTCAGGGTTATATTCACTTCAATTTGGTTTTGGCATTAGAGTTTCCTGCTCATTTGTATATTCTTCTGCTGTCGTATAGTTAGTTCCGTCAAGTGCTACGAAGCGTACATTGTGACTGATTTTAACTGAGATCATAAAAATAAGCTAGCTTGTATCTCTCTGTATACTTTTATGACCATCCAGTATGATTCAGTTACATTACATAGCTATAAACGCTATGCGAAAGTAGAAGACTAATAATGTGCAAAACGTTTTACTCCCAAAACTGAATCAGTGCTCATAATTCATGCGTTAAAGGTGTGTATGTTCGTTGATTCTGACAGGGAACTGTCAGCTGTAACAATGGTAGAATGATGCATTCTTTTACAAACACATGTTTATGCTTGAGTTTCTCACCTACTACTTGACCTTCAGACAACAGATGATCTGTCTGGAATCGCTCAAACCATCATGTCCCTCCTACAAAGAATTTGTCTTAGCATTAAACTGAGATGAAGCCAAATCTGCGTTTTCACCATTACCTTTGATGTTCGACTGTACGAAATTTTTGTGTGACTTTCTTGTTTTTCATACAAATGGCTGAACAATTCTGTTTGAACTATATTACGTGATGTCGCATACTTCTAATAAATTTCGTCTTCTCATTGTACTAGTTAAACACCTAATCAAGTTATTCGTTTCGGGAAATCAGTACAGTTTGTCGTATGATATTATCTGCTTGTTTTTCAATGCTGAATGGATGTCATGTAAGTCACCTTCGAACACTTTTTGTTCATTTATTGAATGAGCGCTGCATATTAGATCTCAATTTTCACCAGAGATTTCAGTTTAAGGTATAGTTTCATCATATTTGTATATTTTATTAGGCGTGTTGGGATACACTACATTGATTTATTCATTCAAGACGGGCGTGGACATTTTAATATGCTGAAAATGAAATCTCCAGAGGAAATTACATCCTTACATTTGGACACCACCTACTGAATGAACGGAAAAATACCTGGAAGTGCTAGATATCGTATGTATGAATACTGAATGGTTAACCTCATATTTTTTATATGCTATTTGCAATAACTGTCGTGCGAAAGATTACTAAAACTAAAGATTTATGTCAAACACTCAAACTTAGTGATGAATATATGTTTCATATCCTAACTTTATATATCATTTACAAACTGAGCGATTTAGACAGTAGTTAACTGAGATCAAACTGAAGCTTAGAATAAAACATTACTGTTATGCTCGTCATGAGGTGTGCTTTGATACTTTTAGGGGTTCACCTTAGTCGATAAAACGAGAACGAGACAATGAAAAATCTTCCAGGTAGGCTACTGTGACCCGTTGACCCAAAGGAACTAACGAGAAGTCTTGATATAGCGTAGAAAGTGCATTTTACAAACACCCAGCAAGCACGATGCATAACGGTACAAAGAAATAACTAGCCAAGCTGGTAAATGGATAGAAAATGAATATGTTTAGACTTTAGACTTCACATTGCTACACAAATCTAATATATCTACTTTGTAACATATCGACAAAAGCATACTGAACTGAATGTTCTATTAATAAGGCATCATTGAATGGTAATGGAATTTCGATCACTAGCTTTGAAGTTTGACCTGTAGATTTATCATGCTCAATAATATTTCAATATTCTTACCCTTAAAAAACATGTTTTTCTGACTGGACTACAATAAACTTCTCGAATTCTTTCTGTATCCATAGTTTATCTCACATTATCATAGTATTCATCAGTTAGCATGCCTTTATCATCAACTTTTCTTAGTATCAATAATCTAAATTAAAACATACTAAAATGTCTTTGTCTACCATTCGAACATCCTGATTTATATACCGCCTAAATCTAAACACAAAAGTTTGTGTGATCTATACAGGAAACTTAAACAGATATGTGAATCAAGCCTATTTTCTGACCGTACATAGAAATAAAAATCGAGTACGAAATTAAAAGACTAGTAGCACTGGTGAGATTTTAATTTGAAAATTTTTAAATCCTTTGATGATAGCCATTTTAAGAAAATACCTTGTTAATGAAGTTTGTACACTTGGTGTCAGTTATACAATAGGATCTTAAACTGAAAAATTACGACTGTGAATATAATGGTAGAATTCGTTTTTAAACATGATAAAACCTAACAATTTGCAATTCTAACTGCAGAAAGTATTGTCTCAAAAGCTAACTGAAGTTTTCATTTTATTGGAAAGAGTAATACTCTTAACTTAGCACAAAAAATCCGATTATGGTCAGTACGATTGAAATTAAATAAATGCTTAGTATTTTTTTTCCAATAGACAATAGAATTTGTTATAAAGGCCAACAGTTCACTTTTCAATGGACACCTTCAATATATCATCAATCAATGAAGAAATTAGCAAATAAATGAAAATAACTAACTAACTACTTTGTTTAGATCTTCAGCATCTTACCAATTTTATTACAAGCTCATTTGTGAAGCATCAAGAAAAAGTTTGTGAATGAGAGCCAGTTTCGTGAACTGCATTCAAAAAGTTAGAACCTTACAATTAGATATATCAAAATACTCTTATAGGTATTTAGAAACAATAGCTAACTTTACACACACTGAAGCCAAATAATCACCGGTTTTCAACCGCTGATTGGACTACGTTATTTCAAGTTATATCACTAGTGAGGTTATGATTACTACTGTCACCAGTGATTACCATTATCATAAGGTAATATTGATCTAGAATATTGGAATGATATATTCTTAAAAACATATTTAGTCGATATGATGTGTTTTATTTTTAAACCAAAATTATCTATGATATAAATATATGATAGTTAACTATAATTGTATTGAAATATTTAGATGTATGCATAAACTCCTAATGTCGGAACAATAGTGATATAGAAATCATAACATTTAAACAATTAATGAATAACATGAAATAGTTAGATGTTTGTTTATAATAACATGTGTACTGTAACATCATCATAAAACAGGTTTTATCAGTACGTCGTGTCAGTTAAAATTCTCATTATATATATATATATATATATATATATATATTAGAAATTAAACAATAATAGGTTTAAATAATAAACAAATAAAAGATAAACTAATTTTATAGAGCATAAACAGAGGGACCCTAAAAAGCTATTCAGAACATTCTTATGCGTTAAATATCTCATTCTTAGTTCAAATATTCCCACAGAATGTAAACGTATCAAGAAATCACGAATATAGAGCATAACAACTGTACACTGATTTATGATCTTCAATAATTCCTTCACCCCAGGCACCGATTATATTGACTGGCGTGTAAGATCTTCTTTGAAACACTTTCTTTTTCTAAATATTCAAATAAAATCAGGCAATTTCGAAATAATGCCAGTTAATCATTCCCTGCTTGAATAAGGAATTGTAAATTTATCTTGTTTCATCAAATAACTACACAAAATTTTGATAGAACAGTGAGAAGACGTAATTGATCTGAAAAAAGTGATGTATTTGCGCTATACATTTCGAACAATCCGGTCACACATATTTAATTATCAAGGCATTTTATATGAAATTAAATAGAAGGTCTATGTGAACTTTTATTTAATTGACCTATTATTCATCTTCATATAAAATGCCTTGACAAGTAAATATGTGTGACCGGATTGTTCAAAACGTATAGCGCAAATACATCAAATTTTTCAGATCAATTACGTCTTCTCACTGTTCTATCAAAATTTATAAAAGGGACTAATTGTTTTACACAGAATTTATTCACTTATTCATATATTCCAAAAAATTTTTAAGCAACATATCTAATCCGATAAAAAAACAAAAGAATATAAAGTCTATAATCCTTGGAGTTTTCAGTTAAACTGATTTGTGTAGTTAAAATTCCCAGTCAGTTATCTTTTAAGCCTTAAACATTGTGAATTAAACAAAAAAATTAATTAGTTATTGTGAGTTGTGAAACATAGTTTTTTTTCTGTTTAGTAGTTTTTAAATATATTCCAATGGTGAAAAAAAATAACGCTATAGAAGATCATTTCAAATCAACTTTAGATCCCAATCTTCATAGGTCTTATCAAATGATTCACGTATAGAAAATATTCATTTCCATTTTTTCATATAGCTATTGACTAATAATATCAATTAATCGGTGATAGTATGTAGCTTGAAAAAACTACAGAAACAGTTGCTGAACTAGAGGTAGAATGTTTCTTACAAAGTAAAAGATTACTCTTTATTAGAAAGTATTTTCAAGCAGTTTGTTTTTTTGTTTTTTTTAAAGAGAGATGCAAACGCAATTGTATGAAATTCTTTTTAAAATAATACTGAATCATTTGCCTACTTTTTCAAACAAACAAACAGAAAGACGACAGACACAAGAAGACAAAATGTCACACATGTCACATCTGTTTGCATTTTATAACATTACAAATAAGAACAAACTTA